ACACTCTTTCCTGTTGGACCTGTCCTTTCTGACAGTATTGCAGGCAATTCTAGATCTGCTATTTTGCCTCCAGCAAACTTTATTTTCCTATTTCCCAATTCTTTAGAGTCCTACAAGGAACTGCTTGACTTTGGGGTGATTATTGTGCTGGAATGAACAGGAGCCTTAATGAAGTTAAGTTACCAGAACAAGTGCTGTAGGGTAAGCCAGGACTGCAGCACTAAGGTAAGAAGGTTTAGCGGCTTCTCAGTTTTGCCACGCGGCTTTGCGGTTGCCCTGGAAGCGCAGGAGAGTGGAGAAACGCTGAACGCCGGAAGCACTTCATCCCAGAAGTCCGCGCGCCGCGCGCCACGTGATGGCCGGCTAGAGCGCGCCGGGGCTTTCGGTACTCCGGGCGTTCTCCGTAGCTTCCCTCTTCTCTCCCCGCCCCTGGGCCTCCGCGCTGACGCTGTCCGGGCGGGAGCCGAGCCGGAGTCGGAGTCGAAGCCGGAGCAGCAGAGACGTGGAAACATGGAGGCCTGAGCCGGTGTGCGCCAACCCGGCTGCGGCGGCGACCGCGGCTTGTTCTGTCCCCTCTGCCACCCGTTCGTCCGTCCGTGAGCTGGAAGCGGATCTCCCCGCCGGCTGAGACAGGTGGGCTGTGGCGCTGCCCCTGGCAGCGCGGCCGTGGGAGCCGGGCGGGACCCCCGCCCCTTGTCAGAGCGGGTTTGGGGACACTCTCCCCTCCCCCGGGCAGAAGGGTCCCTTCTGCCAGCGGGGGACGGGGCCACGAGAGCTGCCCCCCCACTTCCAGGATTCAGTGGCACTTAGAGCCGGGAAGTGAGGGGGTGTGCTAATCAAGAGAGTGAGAGAGGCCTCAGTCCGAGTCTGGTGTTGGGAGTTGGTCGTGGGTAGGGGGGGGATACCGAAGAGCAAGTCGATGCTTCGGAAGATGGGGTTGATGTGACAAGTGGGCGTGTGATGGGCAAGGTGAGCAATAATATTGATTGTTTTTTTGACGTACAAATTTTTATTGAGATGTAATTGACATACCACAAAATTCACCCTTTAAAAGTACAATTAAAGTATAACGCAGTGGTTTTCTGTTCTTTTTTTTTTTTTTTTTTTTTTTTTTTTGTGGCCCT